CCCGGCAATTCACTTTACAAATATCTTTTTTTTTTGTGGAGGGGGGGGGCATTATGTAATTCTATCAGCATCTCCAACAGTGTTGTTAAAAATGCTCTGCCTGTACATTTAAACCTACCAGGTGGGAGAAATTCTAACCCGGGTCTAGATTGACTCTCTTTGTCTCACATTTCAGCCCTTCCAGAATTTGGCCCAATTGATGAATTGAGTCTTTACTTTTTTTCCATAATTCTTAAAAAGATACTTACAGAAAACCAGTTTCAAAATAAACAACAACAACTTGCATTTATATAGTGCTCTGCATGCTGGATGGTGTTTCAGAGCTCTTTGTATTAAATACTAGCTGTACCTGTCGCAGCTTCACTTGCAACCAAAGGATCCAATATGGAATGTAGATTGACACACAGACAGACATTTCATCTTTATCTATACTCATCTGGGAGGTCTCCTGTGGGAGGATTCCTTTTGGGAGGACTCAGTGGGAGGACTCAGCGCTTTAAAAATGTAATTTTGTTGTTGTTGCCGCGCCTTAGCTTTGTTTGTGTTCTTTATTTTGTTCCCACTGCTTGGCTACGTGGATGCTCTGTGACGCAGGATGCCACAGTGCCACGGTCAGCCGGTGTGGCCACCAGGTGTAATTGCAGTGCATGTGTACATACGTAGGTGCTCTGTGACCCACGATGCCACAGTACCACTTTGATTCGGCAGCCACCAGGTATAACTGCAATGAAAATTGCAAATGTGAAAATAACTCATGTACGATAGGAGATAACCAAAAACAAATATGCCCATGTCACTCCCAGAGGCAAGATCTTTCCGATGAAGTATAAATCATGTCTCTATATCAATCGGTTATTGAGATTCTTCTTGAAGTGCAGACAGACATTGGCGTTTTATTGGGATGGATAGACAGAAGATTATATTTTATATTTTAAAAAATGCCAAATTCTAGACGTCTTGAAATGCTACATACTTAAAATAAATCCAGGTGGAATTTCTCCCCCCTCAACATTAAAATTATAAAATTCAAGTTGTTATTCTTCAGTATGTGCCACGCTCAATATAAGATTCTCAGTTGTAGCAATAACTTCATTGCAAATGTTACTTAATCTTGGCTTCTGGTCAATTTTTGGGGGGTTCTTCTGTTATGGAATAATCTCTAGTACTTGTGCACATCTTATTATAACATACAGAAAATTGTACTTCTATAATTTTTTTTTAGCATTACACAATTGGTTTCTGCTGGTTAAACTCCAACAGTACCCCAAAAGGCAATCTGGGGTCCCTAAATTGTGGTTCTCACTAACCTGCACCTAATAATCTCTAGTATTGGGTAAGCAGAGTATACTTCTCCAGAGAGGGAGTGTGCATTCAATACATGTGTGACTCTCAATCTGGTTTGGATACTCTTAAACATAGTGATGGGATTCCGCATGTGTCAGACACCTATCTGATCAAAAATAAGCATTGAATAGCCGTGCCGACATGCACTTTAGATCTCATTTTGGGGCCTTTGGATTTTGTGCTCTTTAAAAATGTTGGTTCTTTATCTAACATCAGTTAGACAACTTGCATTATTCAGGACTCAAGACTTACAAGTTGTTGATGAACACTGAGTTCCATGGTAATAGAATAGTGAGTCAGAATTCAATCCATGGACACAAAATTTGGCTGGTTCCCAGGTTTAATATAAATTATTAATGCCTGACAGGATGAACCCCTTCATGTGCCTGCAGCATCAATGACATTAGACATGGTGCAAAGCGATGGAGAACAGATATAATAGAATTCTTAAATTGGCTTCTAGATCCTATTGAACCTGAAATAAAAATTCAATATACATAGTAACCGGGACAAACCCAGTTATGTTTTATAAACTGAACTACTCTGTTTAGGTTCAGCAAGTTTCTGTTTGTGCTGCGCTGGTTGGCTTTCAGCTCATGGCAGAGCTCAAGAAGTATTAATTAATCTTTAAACTTTAGTAACAAGCTGCCTTGCTTGGGGTCATTATTTACTCTTTATTGGTTTGCAAAACGATATGAAGAAATGTTCAGCTCTGAAAAGTAACCTTCAGCCACTGCCGTCAGCAATGGCAACATGCACCAGTTTACCCAAGACACACGCAATCAATGAAACTGAACTCAAAGAGCACGTAACGTTGGCATCCTGTTTGTATTTCTGCCATTCTCATTAAAAGTTAATCATTTAGCAACATCTTATGTAAACTTGATTTCCCCAGAATTAACTTGTGGACCCAGCAGAACAATGGAAAGCTGGTAAATTTTTGTAAAATTATGTTCCTTAAGAATTGTTGTTGGTTGGTTAACAAAACCCATTTCCTTCTATTTAACCCATTACATGCAGGAACATCATAATTTGTTTCTACTGTCATTAACCTTTGAGTAACTGCACGGCCTTATTCTTTCAGAGGTTCCTTAAGCGTCTTGAGACGTCTAGATATGAAAGGTAATTTGCATTGTAGAAAGCACGTGGTAACCACAATTCTAGTGCATGAGGCCCAACACTCTTAATATGATGTTCCCACTTAATAAAAACTGTTATCTTTTTAATCTGTTGCCAACTCAAAAGATAAATGTGTTATTGAAAGCATAAACAACACTGATAGCACTGAATAATATTCAGCTAGTTTGAAAACCCTCCTGATTACAATTCTGTTTCACATAGGCATAAGTAATCACAAGGTGGTAGCACAGAAGACCATTGAGCCAAATGCCTGTCTGCCAATTAATTGCTCATGACTTTGCTCATGTCCCATTCCTGAGGGCCAGAAAATAAAACTCAGTAACTACACCTATTCATGATCAGAGACTTCCAAAGAGAAGAGAAACTTTTATATTAGAGCTCAACTTGTTTTCACTGGAAGAAAGATATTCATTAAGCCATTAAACTGATGCAGAAAGTAGATGTAAAGGGATAAAATTCCACCTGGATCTACATTTACTCTAACAGAGAATTTTGGAGTGTCCAGAATTTGGCAATTTTTAAAAAAACATCCTGTGGTTCTGTAGTAAACATGCATTACCATGACTTGTTACATCCTTTCAAAGGGTTAGGAGCTGTCTGAATGTTCCGAACTCTGGTTACACTGCTCAGGGGTGAATAGGTTTGTTTATTACCTTTTACTTAAGTGGCAAACATCCCTGATGGGTTTGTGCCATTGTCCAATCGTTACCCTTAACACACTCAGCAGTTTTTTAGAGCTCATTTTCCAAGAAGCCATGTGGTTCACTTCAAGGACAGTCTGGTGCTGAAACATTACTCAGTAGGATCCCATCTTTTAGGCAGTGCTGCCTCTTCAGCTCCTTTTATTACCCTTGCAAAACATTTCATGATCTTCTATTTGCTATTCTCTTTTGTTTAGCTCAGAGAGCTAAGAATGGACAAATGGTTCACAAAATTAACTTTGGTGCTGGCTGGCTGCCCAGACCAGCTTGAATCCATTGCAATGGTTACCATCGCTTAAGCTATGCTAGAGCAACCCTACTTGAGTTAGCTTTGCTTTTGACTTTCTGCATCTACCGATGTTGGAGTGAGTTCAATGACAAAGACAAATGTTGTGTGAAATGTCACCATTGATAATCTATTTAGATGATTTATTCATCATTATTATTACTACTACAAAAACAACAATAACTTGCATTTGCCTTTCACGTTGGATGGCATCTCAGAGTGCTTATTAATAAATCACTAATAAAATGAATAATTATATAATTATTAATAATAATAACAATCCTTGCATTTGATATAGTGTCTATTGGGCTTCTCAAAGCGATTCACAGGATATATTGTCATGAGATGTTCAACAGTCGTTCATTAATCTTAGTTTTCAGGAGCTGATGAGGATACTATTGTCCCTCATTCCTCGCACCCTCTGCCCCACTATTGGAGGTCGCACTTTCAGCCACTACACCCCAAAACTCTGGAACATTCTCCCTCAATCCCTCCGCCTTGCCCCCTTTCTCCCCTTTTTCAGGTCCCGCCTGAAGACTTTCCTCTTCGACCGTGCTGAACAGGACTAACCCCAAAATGATCAAAATGCTATTAAGATCGCTCAACAAATTACTCCTAGATTATCACACTCCAGAAGTTGGCGCTCCCAGTCCCCCTCACCTTGTTCCACAGATTTGTATAATAATGTACTTTATTTCAGTCCGTGTTTGCAATGCTTTTTAACAAAGTAATAATAATAATCCTTGCATCCAACATAGCACCTTATCACTTCATTGAGATGTCTCAAACCGCTTCACAGAATATACGTTAAAGTGAATTGACTGTATATTTTGTGGGCGAAACGTATAGATTTTCAAATGCAAAAATTATGCAAAATTTATAAATCATTGTGTGGGGTTTTTGGTTAGATTGGGAGATTGGTCCCAAAAAACAGGGAAACTTATTTGAAGTCAATGAAGCTAAGCTCCTTCAGTCTATAATAGTTCTGATGAAAGGTGAACAGTATGAAACGTTAACTCACTTTCCTCTCTCCATAGATGCTGCCTGACCTGCTGAGTGTTCCCAGCGACTTCTGTTTTTATTTCAGATTTGCTGCATCTGCAGTATTTTGCCTTTTGTTTATATGCTCGTCCTTGTTGGCTAAAAATGATCAGTAATTATTCAGCAAAGTGACTGACAATATTAGGGAGCATTCACAAAACAAGATTAGATGAACACATCAATGTTTATGTATTCCAGTATTAGTCTATCACATAATTTCATCTAAATGTTTTCTTTCACAACATAACCTTAATTTTGCTTTTTCATTTGTTAATCTTATCTGGCAGATTTGCACATTCACGGTTGCAGATAGTTAAGCATTAAATTATAAATAACATGAATTAATTTGCCTCATCAAAATGCATTAGATGAAATGTTACAGATTGTATTCTAAAATTTCCTTGTGCTTCAAATGGTCAGGCACGTTTCCATAGAAATTTACAGCACAGAAGAAGGCTCTTAAGAGTAACTTTTCAGTCCACACTTACTTGTACTTCTTAAAGGAGAGACCCATGTGTTGTTTCATTTGCTGCAGTCCATGGTAATCCGTGTAAATAATGTCAAAGGCCAGAGGTGCAGTCAGTGGGCAGCTTCCTCTCCCAGGAGGGACACCTAAGAAACTACATGATAAAAATACTTCATTAGCATCCGGGCTTGATGAGACTTAAAGCATTTCTTTTTACCTGTTAAAAATATTTTCCAAAAGGATTCATTTGTTTCAATAAGGTTCAACCTACAGTTGCAAAACGCCTCACATTCTTGATCTGCAAAACAAGTTTCCCATTCTATACTAAACTTTGAGCGCAATTGCATTGCGACGTTGAACAGAAGACATCAGGTATAATGTCTCATCTGAAGGATAGCAGACAGACTGGACACACAGTAGACTATGTGCTAATCATCCAAACTCCACAAGTTTAATAATGCACACTTTGTACACACACGTGGATTCCCAATGATGCCATAGAAATTACAAAATCTACAAACAAATGCCTTCAGCAAGATTCTGTGGAGAAAAGTTTCTGAATTCCTTTACTGGGAAACATATAACCCACTGGGATCTGTAAGCTCCATCATTGATTATTCTCATTGCCAGGGCACTGTTAGCGAACCAACTATAGTGGAGTTATCAATCATGCATTTTCATCAACAGAATATTAAGCAGCTCATCACATTGTATTGAGTTTCAGTCATCAAGTTTGTCACAGACATAAATATAGCGGTAGCAAGGTTGCTGTGTAAACAAGGCAGAAAAGGAATGCTTGATTTCTGACACGGTGCAATTATTTGAATCTGATTTCTTTGCACCATTGCATGACTGAGAAGTGACTTACTGTTGTAGTATTTTGACAACCTTTAGGATTTTTTTGACGGGGAAAGTGTATAAGAACTGTACATTTTACTGCCGCTGCTCAGAGTCTGTGTCAACATAGAGCAGCAGACAGAAGCAACAATAATGTGGGATTGCACAGTGAATAATGTCTTGCACAGTGAATAATGTGAACTCTTGGAATAATTAAGATGTATACAGAGAGATGTCAAGCGCCTCAAGCGTGAATTATGCAGTTCAATAGGATTGGTCTGTATTCCGTAGGCTTCCACATGTCAGCAATACATGACTTCAAATTTTGTAAGCTCAATTTAGAATTTGCCTCCATTTGACCTCGAGTTTACTGATTATTTTACTAGCCATCAATTATTAAGTTGTAACTTTTCTTTCCATTTTACTTCTAGTCCCCTGTGCTCCCCATCAGTCTTGCAATCTTGGATCTCTGCCAAAGCTTCCCTCCCTAATTTCAAAACATTGGAGTCCTGTGGCTCAGTGGTTAGAGCACTCGCTTTGCAAGTGAGAGACCTGAGTTCACTTCCAGGCAGGGTGAAACCTTGGGCAAGTTTCTTTACTCCACACGCCTAATAATAATCCTCCAAAACTAAAAACAATAATAAATTGGTCATTTTCAATTTACGACTGTTTGTGGGACATTGCTGTGCGCAATTGGCTGCCGCGTTTGCCCAAATACAGTCAATTCACTACAGTGTACTCTGTGAAGCGCTTTGGGACGTCCTCCCGACGTGAAAAGCGCTATATCAAATGCAAGGATTATTATTATTATTATTATTAACAGTCTTAAAACTCTTTTTGGTCGTATATTTGGTTAAGATCCTTAAATTTCCTTTTTCTCTGTTAGGTGTTCTCTGTTATAGATATAGAACACTTAAGAAGTTCCTCTTATGTGAAAGGCTCTATAACAAGTGATAGAAAAGTTAGGGTTGAGACAAAAAAAATCTTATTATTGTTGTTAATGATGATAGCTAGGTGATGGGCTAAGTGGCCCAGGTTTACTTGCTTTGAGTCTTGCAACCTTAAATTGTATCCAAATAGCTTTTTTTTTAAAAAAGTAAAGCCACATGTAATTTGACCACAACAACTAGAACAGAACGGATCTGGCAATAGAGAATTCAGAGATATCCCACGTGAGGTACATTATGTCTCATTAAGCCATACCAGCATTGTATGTGTATGTGTGTGGCCATGGTGATGGATGTCAAGCTTATCACCATGCTGCCCAAATAATCAGCCCCACGATGTTTATCTTGAAACATTTGTTGGGTTCCCTGGTGCATGTTATTTCTACTTGTTGGTCACCAGTCAATTAATAGCGCCTTGGGACGTCCTCCTGACGTGAAAGGCGCTCTATAAATGGAATCTTGTTGTTGTTGTTGTTGTTGTAATACACTGGAACGTACTGAAGCACAAGTTGCATTGAAACACAGATTAGTGCTACTGCAACACCGATCCAGTGAGTATCCTGGAAATGTTTGTTTACAACTTTATATAATCAATCAGAAAATAATCCTTGCATTCGGCATAAAAGGGAAAGTGTATAGAGGTAACTCTGAAAGAGGTAAAACTAAGGTCCAAGCGTGATTTAAATGAACCTATTCCAATTTGGTCTCATTTGGTGCAGGACAAGACTTTTAATGGAAAGAACTGAACAGTAGAACCAGAATTTACCTCTGGCAGGCCTGCGATTGAAGGGCGTTAAATTCAGAACAAATCTGCGGAAACACTACTTCAGTGAGCAAGTTGTAAACGTATAGGGCAGGCTCTTTAGGGAGACAGTGGAAGCAGAAAATGTCACATGTTTCAAGAACAAATTAGATAGATTTCTGCTGGAAACTAATATCTTGGGATACAGGGTATAGTTTGGGACATAACATATCAGCGAACCTTGATCTTCTTTCTCCTGGCAAATTCTTATGTTCTTATGAACTCCCTGATTGAGACTGTGGTAACAAATAAAATGTGTAAAGGCCCAGCTGCTTGAATGGAGACATCCCATCTGTTGAGTCCAAAATGAATCTTACATTGATCCACCATGCTAGGCTCCCTGCCTGAAAAACCAGCTTGGTTAAGATATTCACTGGGTTAATGTGAGAAAGTAACAGTTTCCTTTCTACCCTCAGCTAATGATCAAAAGAAAAGTCAGGGTTGAGAGAAAGAAAAAATCTGGCCCTATTGTCGAGCACATTAACTTTCCCTTATAATATTGACTGTTCTGTGAATAACGACAATGTTTTCTGCCTTCCCCTACTCGATAGACCGATGGACTCTTCCAAACAATTGAAATTTGTCAAACAAAGCCTTTTTTATATATATAAATATATCTGTTCTCAATACACACACCACTATTTTCTGTTAATGTCCCCTGACCCTACTTTAGTAATAATCTGGGTTTATTTTATCTATCCAATTAAATATTTGATACTTTGTCAAAGAACATTGAAAATACTTCTGTTGCTTCTTCCTCTTCTCCCAAGTGACATTCAACTTTAAATACAAATTCAAACTCAGATGCTAATCTTAGTCAATTATTTGATTCTTGGTGTTTTACCGTTCAGCACCAATCAATTGGCACATTTTATCTCAAGACAACACACATTGCGGACAGCTGTATCCTCTGTGTAACATTCCAGGTTTTTTTTGTCAAGTGTTTTAATTAAGGTTTAATTGATCATTGTATAATTAACTGGGCCATGTTCAAAGATTTACAGACTGCTTATTTGTATTTGAAGTTTACAGAAGGGCCAATTTAAGCATAATCCTGAAGCAAAGATAAAATTGCTTGGATTTCCAGTCAAGGATTTATCAGGGTTTAAGAAAATGTTTTTCACTTTGACTTTGCTTATGATTATAATAATACCCATTCTTGCATTTCACATAACGCCTTCTCAAATCAACATGTCCCAAAGTGCTTCACGGAATTTTATGTAAAGTGTATTGGCAGTGTATTTATAGGTGAATGTGATAGCTAAATTGCACACAGCAAAGCAAAATCCCACAAACAGCCACGGAATGATTGACCAGTTTTACTTGGGGAATTGTTGGCCAAGGCACACCAGAAACTCTCTTCTCTTTTAACATTCAACTGAACAAGCAGATGGTTCCTCAATTTACTGTATCACCCAAAGGAAGGCACCTTCAACAATGCAGTGCTTCCCCCCCAACACTCGGCTGGAATGTCAGCCTGGATTATAAAATCAAAGACCTGATGTTACCATCCACACAGCACAATGGTCCGTTAGTTTCTTCTTGTTCAACAAGCAACGTGGGGGTTTATCTTACAGCACAATCTTTTCATTGGGCTCATATCACATTGTACTATTATAAAAAGTAGAAATACTGATCACTATTTTAGTGTTCGGTGTAACACAGCCTCCAATGTTAGGGTGACTCAGTAAAGCATCACCACTTAGTGGCTGGCATTAGATTAAATAAATCTAATCTCTTTTGTTGCTCATTAAGCACTTGATGTCTGTAGATATCTAAGAAGAGGGATGACATCCTGCTATCATGACATCCAGTGCCCACTTAATCAGCACGGTTACATTCATCTGGAAACATTTATGTCGTTCCACCGTGCCTGTTATTTCACAACAACAACTTGCAATTACATAATAATCCTTGCATTTGATGCAGCGCCTTATCACATCCCGGAGACGCCTCAAAGCGCTTCACAGGATATACTGTAAAGTGAATTGACTGTACATTCTGTGGGCGAAACACGCCAGCCAATTGCGCACAGCAGCGTCCCACCCACAAACAGTCGTGAATTGCGTGACCAAATTATTATTATTTTTTTATTTATGAATTAGCACAATATAGCAATTTTCATATAGGGTAACATCTCGGACGGTTTTACTGGATGGTGCCCGACCCTGAACAAGAAAGTAGGGGGGTGAGGGGAAACTGACCGTAAATATGGTCAAAGATGTAGGTTTTTAGATGGGATTTATTAATAATAATCCTTACATTTGATCTAGGACGTCTCAAAGCGCTTCACGGGATTTACTGTAACGTGAAGTAACTGTGTATCTTGTGGATGAAAGCAGTGAGCATTAGTGCTGAAAAGGTGATTCAAGATCTAAAATCCTGTGTTATCATCTTTAAGACATCTTAAATTGCCAATAAACATTTACTGACACGTTGTTGTTCGATTTAATGGAATGCAACAGTAAGTTAAATATACCGCTATACAAGTTTGGAATACTGATACATTTACGTTTAATATAATTTAGATTGTATGAAGCACTGAAAAAAGGGCTGCAACATGGTCTA